GGATTCCCACACTGGTTCACGTACTTACAGATCAAAAATTTATTTGGTATGATATCATGGGTTGTGCTAATGACCTAGAGAATATCAGAGCCTTTCTGGATATTTAACAACAGGTTTGCATAGGAGTACTGCTAACCACTGTACAATTCGGGTTTAGGTGGCTTTTAGAGTCTAGTCTGTCACACTTACCTTGAAAACATACAGAATGAACTGCACATCAACTTGAAGTTTTCTTTAAAATCATGGAAGATAGGAAAAAACAGGAGCAGCAAAGTCAACTGACAAACTAGGAGGAAAAAATTACAACCTGTATCACAGACAAGCATAACTGGAATATTTGGAGAGTTAAAAGTTTAAAGGCCAACCCTCCCCACCCTACTTCCCTTAAATAGACAAAGGACATACCACCAAGCCACCAAGAGAGAGGCAGGTAACCCATGAATATAAGAAAAGATCCTCAATGGTTTTGCTTGTTGAAACTTAGGGAAATCTAGTAGGTCCTGAGTGTCTGAAGAAGTACACTTTAAAGGAGGGCTAGAAATTAACTGCTGGCAATTGGACTTTCTTAGAATTAAAATTCCCTATCACAAGAAAAAAATATAGGTTCCTCTCTCTTCCCAGAATGCAGTAGGTCAGTGAGAACTGTGATTAACTGGTATCTGATGCCTGGTACATTGAATTTAAAGAAATTCATGAGATTCTTTGGTCTGTGACATCAGTGACACATGGGAACTGCTGTGTATACTAACACGGGCAAAATACTGAATTGCCAACTTTCATTTGTGTCGCTGAGCAATTCTGTTAGCCTCTGGCCTTCCATTTTTCATCTGAACGTAGCGCTGGACCAACTAGTCTCCAAAGCTATTATTACTGCTAACAATCTAACTTTTCTTCTAGTTTCCTTTCTGTATACCTTACACGTAAGTGTGACACGTAATTTCAAGTCTATGCCGTTTAAATAAAATGTTCTGTGTCCACGTGTGTAACGGGGAAGGAATAAAAGATTTTTTTTCTTTCTACATCTATGCCGGCATATGGTTTGTAATGTGTTTACTTTTTGAAGCCTTTCAAGGCCAAGCGGAAACAAAATGTTCCTTCGGAGACAGGCCCTCCTTTCTGGACATGAATGTGTTCAGAATCCTGTGTAGGGTGAGGTTTACCACTGGAATGCTCTTGCTGGTAACAGCTCAGTATGGCCAACCGGCTGCCAGGTGCGTACCAGGTACAAATAGAGGCGGCACCCCTTCAGGGCCAACATGAAAATGATGGCTTAAAATTATCCTGTGTTTAGTCATTCTCTTTCAGGTTTTCAGATACCTAATGTGTAATTCACCAGGACACTGAAAGCTCTGTCTCAGAGTACTCACAGGCTCACTCATGCTGCTACCGCCACCTCTGAGAAGCATGATGTAAACACGAATGTAGGAGGCCACGTCTCATCCAACATTGTGATTTCTTTTACAGAAGTTGGCCTCTGTTTGATGACATCCCCACACATCTACCTCAGCCCGACTGCCATTCATAAAGGAGATCTAGCACATAGCTCAAAACCTGGCGTACACACAGGCATATTCTCCATGTTCTTTTTCACTCTGTCAGCGTGACAAAATCTTTAGGGGCAGTTGCAGGAAAACAGGAGCCTTTACTGCCCTACATCACTCAAAGCCTTGACTCTTTTTTTTTTTTCTTTTTAAGACTTTATTTATGATGGTGGGGAATGCACAAGTCTGGGGAGCGGGGGGGGGGGTGGGGAGAGAGGTAGAGGGAGACGGAGAAGCAGGCTCTGCACTGAGCAGGGCGCCTGATGTGGGCTTGATCCCAGGACCCTGGGATTATGTCCTGAGCTGAAGGCAGATGCTTAATGGACCGAGCCACCCAGGCGCCACCCCCAAAGCCTTGACTCTTGAGTTTTATTCCTGTCGAGGCTACAGGATGTTCACTGTCAACACTCTGTCTTTGAACTAAGTCACTAAAATGATCTCAAGGCTAAGAGACAGACAGTAGCTCCACTTCATATCACGGTTTGCCCTGCTTGATACAGGAGTGTTTTCTGTGTGTAGACAGTTGTAGTTCCCTCCTTTCGAGGCAAGCCCCACTTTGTTCCTAGTGTCTAAAATTATTAAAATCTCTCAGAACTTTCCCAGCATTTCTTTGGTAAATCCATGCTGGGGGAAATTGGCAGAGACACGTTAGATGCTTCTGACAGCAACACCTGTTTATTTCATACTGTATTCATAGGCATTTATTACACACCTACGACAGACCTACAACTTTCTTAGCACTGGAGCTACAGAGGAAAACTCTATCCCTGTCTCATGGAGCTTTTCCAGAAAAATAGGGAACGGGGCTCAGAACCTTTTGAACGGAGCCTTAATGGATTCACATGAAAATAAATCAATGTGAGATTTTTCAATTATTTTTAGAATGGTTGATCAACCCCAGGTATATATTTTACTGATTGAAAGAAAGTTCCAGTAAAACCCCAATTCTTAAATGTAATCAAGCTTTTGTAACTAGGAAACCAAACAGCAGCCATTTTTTTGGGCCATCTTTTACTTTTAAGAAGTAAAAATTTACTTCTAAGACTAGAAACAGATGGGAAAACGTTATCATCTGACAGAGATGTAACTGACATATACCTCTGTACATAGATGGATCCAGAGAACAATAAATAGACTCCCGTTTTTCACAAATAAGTGTCAACATTGAACAGAACATTTCTGTTGTATCACTCTCTCCGTACCTGTAAAAATGAACAGGAATGATTTCCTCTCTTTGAGTTTCCTACTCAGTCTCCTTAATTATACCTCCTTCAAGTCAGTGTCATATGGAATCTCTGGATCTTAGAGCACAAGATAATACGGTGTTTTAGATATCACTCCCACACTTACTGTTTTATATGCCCTGCCAAGAATCCAAACGTTGTGCTGTTGTGGGAAAAAGAGAAAATGCCATGGTTTGGACATTTTTAATGCCTCTGAACTATAGAATTCTTTAAATAGGCATAGAGTTTGGTAATTCCAGAAGATGCACTTGAAGTTAATACAGAAAAGCTTACATTTCATCACCATTCTGTTATATACCTTAATCCTGTGTGATGCAGGATCAACCCTCATCATTCTATGAACAAAATAGCAGTTGATATATAGGTTGGACTGAAAAATGTTTTTCTTCATCTGATTCCTGTGACACAGGGTCAGTAAAGAAAACTGAAAAGTGCAAGGAAAATGAAAAACGCATAATCCCAATGGATATTAGTTAAGTCTGGAGAGTTTTCAACTAATAGCTCACTGGGAATACCAAAGGCAAATGCTTATTGGGAGTCCTTTTTTCTGGACACATATATATTGTAGTTTCTCACATAGATTTTTTTTTTTTTAAGTGCTTCCTGCATAGACATTCCTAACCGGAAAGGCACCTATCAACAATTCCTTATACTTTTGCTAGACACTTAGGATATTCTTTTTCCCCAAGATCATCTATCTTCGGTCACAGCTCTGACGACTTATTTGGGATAAACTCCAAGTGGAACTAGTGGTTTAAGTCATGTCCACTGGAAAACTTACCACACAGAAAAGTTAAATTAAGAGGCTAAGCTTGGGGCCGCGGTGGCTCAGCGGTGGAGCGGCTGCCTTCAGCCCAGAGCGGGTCCCCGGGGTCCCGGGATCGAGTCCCGCATCAGGTTCCTCACTGGGAGCCTGTTTCTCCCTCTGCCTGTGTCTCTGCCTCTCTCTCTCTCTCTGTGTCTCTCATGAATAAATAAGATCTTAAAAAATAGGGATCCCTGGGTGGCGCAGCGGTTTGGCACCTGCCTTTAGCCCAGGGCGCGATTCTGGAGACCCCGGATCGAATCCCACGTCGGGCTCCCGGTGCATGGAGCCTGCTTCTCCCTCTGCCTATGTCTCTGCCTCTCTCTCTCTCTCTCTGTGTGACTATCATAAAATAAATAAAAATTTAAAAAAAAAAGATCTTAAAAAATATATATATATAATCATATATTAAAGCCTAAGCGTGAGGGTGTCAGCCCCCCTCCCCCCAGTAGTTCCTGCTTTGCCAGCTCAGGGGAGCAACGTGTCTGTCCCTCTCAGGCGCGCTTTCAATGCAGGCCACGTGACTCTCCCCCCCCCCCCCCCCCCCCGAGAAGTCGCACAGGTCCCACCGCAACTCTCCAACAGATCTGGCTCATTCCTCATTCTCCGCTTGATTTTCCACTGAGAGGCTGTTTCACCAGAAAAGGTCTCCCTCCTGCGGAGCAACTTTTTTTTTTTTGGATTTTATTTATTTATTCATGAGAGACACAGAGAGGGAGGGCGGGAGGGAGGGAGCGAGTGAGCGACACAGGCAGAGGGAGGAGCAGGCTCCCTGAGGCGCCCGACGCGGGACTCAATCCCGAGGCTCCGGGGTCACGCCGGGCCCCGCCCCCCGGGCGCCCCGCCCTTACCTTCTCCTCAGGGAAGCGCTCCCTTGCCGCGGGCAGGAGGCCGCCCTCCGCCGCCTCCCTCGAGGACGGGCTCGGCGAGCGCGGGCAGCGCCCCGGGGCCGCCACGCTGCGGCCGCACGACGACCCCGCTGCCTGGGCTCCGCGCTCTCCCCTCAGCGCGCCCTTCCGCTCCGGCCCCGGACGACGGCGGCGACGGCCCCGCCCGCTCCGCGGCCCTTCCCCGCCCGCTCCGCGCTGGCCGAGCTCCCGAAGCCGCCGGGGGCCTCCGCTCGGCGCGCACACGGGGTCGCCGCGGGACGAGACCCAGGGGCCCGGCGACCCGGGGGCGCGACGCCAGCACGCGCGCGCCGGCCGCGGAGGCCTCTGGGTCCCACGGCCCGGCCCCGCCCCCGGCCGCCCGCGGGCCCCGCCCCTTCCGCGAAGGCGAGACGCTTCCGCCCAGGCCCCGCCCACCTCCCGCCCAAGCCCCGCCCCGATCCCACCAGGCTCCGCCCACTTCCGCCCAGGCCCCGCCCCTATCTCTCCCTGGCCACGCCCCTCCGTTGCGCACCTGCCCGGGGATAACTGGGGGTGGGGGATTGTGGCGTGCGGTGCCAGTCCTCGGGGAGGAGTCCTCCCGGCCGGCTCGTAGGCTCCCGCTGGGCACCTGCAAGATGACGGCGTCCCGCGCACCGCGCACCAGCTGTCCCTGCTGCCCGGAGAAGCGCTTTTCTTGGCGCTTGGTCGGGATCCTATTGGTGGCCCCAGTGCTCCTGCTTTCTCTAAACTCTGGTAAGAGCCTGGAGAGGTTATGCCCTCTGGCCCTGAGCTGGAGCAGATCCGGGGAGCTGGCCGGAGGTACCCAGGGCCCTGGAGCTTTGCGTCCTTGACCTCCTGATCCTGATTTCACTATTGATCTGCTTGCACGCACACAAATGCAAGCACAGACAGTTTTGCTCACTGTGAGAACCCACACAGTGGCAGTCAAGACAAGGATGCTAAGACTGATTGACAACGGCAGACAAGACATACTGCTAGCGAGTACATAACCCAAGAGAAGTGCTCTGGAGGAGAGGAGCTTGATTCTCCGGTAGCATTTAACAAGGACTAGTGGCAGAGAAAATCTTTCACTAAAACTGGCCAAACTCTTCTTCTGTGGGATTCTGTACTTACTATTCCCTCAGACTTGCAATATTCTCCGCCGGCCCTTTGTATATAAGGCTCCTTCCTCTCATTCAAGCTCAATTGAGATGTCACCCCCCTCTCTGACCACCCTATCTCAGACACGCACACTCCAGCTCAGATCCCTCCCTGATGGGGAGACACTCTTGCCAAACTGCTTGCTCTCCCCACTAGAATGCAGAGAGCTCCTCTGTCTTGTCACACTTGTCATTCAAAATGCCCAGCTTTTTGCTCAGTATCAACAGTCTTGTATAACCTTTAAGTATCAGAAAATGAAATACAATATTCAGCTGAGGCTTATATAGAGTACCAGCAAAAGGTTCTTTAAAAACCCAGGGTTAGGATGGCCTTTCTGTGGTGCCTAAGCTAAGGCGGGGCAGCTGATGTCAGAAAGGCTCTGTCTCCTACTGTTTATGTAGACTCTGCGGTGCCCACAATACTCTTGTCTTGCTTGTTACTAGTGGGGAGGGGCCGGTGGCAATAAAAAGAAAGCAAAAAGAAAAAAAAATTTTAAAAGGGATCAAGTTAAAAAAAAAAAAGGGATCAAGTTGAGGTTAGCCATGGAGCTAACAATGAAGGAGACCATGAATATTGTTTGGAGGAGAGGAAATACAATGAATAGGGTGAAAATTGGAAGGTCACAGATACTTAGGAATGCAGAAAAGGAAGTTGCAGGTTCAAAGGTAAAATCAGGATAGGTATGGAATTAGAGAAAGCCCAAATGAGGCCTCATTATGTCGGGCAGAGAAATACGGAAATAGAATACACATGTCCGTTTTGAAGCAGCTCCCACGCCCAGAAGCAGGTTTGTAAGCAGACAGTGTTGTGCCTGGAGGCTCGCCATCTCCAAGGCACTCAGTTGCCAGCTGCGTGAGATCGCAGAAGGGAACATTTGTCCAGTTCGGGACCAGTCCTACTCTTCCAGAAGGAGTCTCTGCCTCAGTGGAGAAAACCCACCATCTCCTGTTGTGAGTGGTGTCTTTAAGTCTCTCCTTTCTCTCTAATGAAGAAGCCAAGATCCCTAAGTGCTTACTTACAGGACAGTTTCTTGGTCTCCTTCCTCTGCAGATTATAAAGCAGAGACAACAGTCCTTATCTGGCCAATTGTTAGGTTACCAGGATACTGGGAGATAGGCAACAGAAGAAATTGCGTGGCCAGATCTTTCTCCAGTGCATAAAACTTAAAGATGATTATTTTCAATATTAGATGCATCTCAGTGTATTCTTCAGCATGGTGTTCTGTTTGACTGCGGTGGCCCTTTGAGCGCCAGATGTTTTGCCTAGCCCCTCCAAGGGACATCCTGTGCTCGGTGTTAGGGCTGCATGTGTGAATGGCGTCAGCCAGGGGGACTATTAAACACAAAAACTTGTGATAGTGCCTGAAAGATCCATGCTGAGGACAGTCCAAGAGGAGGGGACTGGGCACTGCCTCCCGGGGAAGTGGAAAATGCTTGCTAGAGGAGCAGTTGACTGGGTTCAGTGTTAAGAAGTCAGGGGTTGAGCAGGAGCCACAGCTGAGCAGGAAGGAAGGGTGTTCAGAGCAGAGGGAGCAGTGTGATGGGTCAGAGGCTTAGACACATGACATGGCTGGGGGCATTCGATGACTGCAGAGCTACCCGGTGTGGCAGCAGGAGGACAAGGGAGGCAAGAGAGAGCCCGAGGACTAGATCCCAGAGCCAAACATTGTGAAGAGCAACAGGATAGTCAGCAATGAACAATCACCATCATTAAAATTCAGACATGACGTTATTATCTGTTCTTTCAGGGCACCTTGAGCCGTTTTGTTGGACTTAATACATAGCGAATCGAAACCAGGGTTACTTTAATTTTTCCAGACTCAGTAGAAGACCATGTCTTGAGGACTACATCGCTAAGTGTTTTGGTGGAAGCACGGGAGGGTTTCAGATGAGTGTGGTGGGAAGCAGTGTTGCCTAGTTGCTGGGGATGTTGTCTTGGACAAATTACTTAAGCTGCTGTGCCTTAGTTTGCTCATCTTACAGAGGGGAAAATAGTATCCTATTCATAGGATGAGTATGAAGTTAGTTAAATTGCCCTTAAAATAATGGTACACAGGTAGTGCTGAAGGTTCGCTATTGCTAAAATTATAATATCACCACTGTTGTTTTAAGAAAGAAGATGTAGAATCTTTGGTTACCGTACTTGGGGAAAAAAATCCCCATTATTTGGAGTTCTCCTTTGATACTGTTAAATACTGTTTGTAATAATAACAGTAATGGAGATTGGGTCCATGATAAAACAAGAAAGCATAAATATTTTGACATGAGAGAAATCAAATACTCTGATAAAGGGAAAGAGCTGTCATTCAACCAATGAAAAAGTTTGAAGAGAGGCATAAAACAACAAAGACAAAAATGATGATTTGGTGATTTCTCTGGAAGACATTGGCTGAGCAGAAAAGAATTTGAGTCTTTGTCTAAGAAGATCTGCTAACTGCACTCATTCAGCTGTGGTGCTGGGCATTACAAGTGCAGTGATATGTCATAGGTGGTCCTCAGAAGGTAACAGTCTCGGAGGGAGTACAAACAATAACGACTTAGGCTTTGAGGCATTCTGTGGAAGAAGTAAATCGAGCATCGTGAGGACACTTCACCTAGTTTTTTTTGTTTGTTTTTGTTTTTTTTAAATATTTTTTATTTATGATAGTCACACACAGAGAGAGAGAGAGAGGCAGAGACACAGGCAGAGGTAGAAGCAGGCTCCATGCACCGGGAGCCCAAGGTGGGATTCGATCCCGGGTCTCCAGGATCCCGCCCTGGGCCAAAGGCAGGCGCCAAACCGCTGCACCACCCAGGGATCCCTCACTTCATCTAGTTTTCTGATAAGAGATGTCAAGAGCCACAAGAAGTGGCATGCCACTGAAACTGAAAGATGAGTGGGGTGGGAGGAATGTGGGATCTCTGGTCAAAGCTGAAGTTAAATGATGCAAGGAGATCTGGAGTGCTGATGTAGTTTAGGCAATTGAATGGACACTGTAAGGAATCGAATAGGGCTTGAGAATATTATTCAAGAGTGAGCAGAGCCCTGATAGGGACAAGCTTTACAAGTCAGCTAGCCATGATAAGGAGCCCTTAGGCATTGTCATGAGGGCATTAGGGAAGTCATCGAAAGGTATCTGACTTGGAAGAGTTTTGGTCACTGTCGTATCAATGTGACTCTGGCAGCAATGTGAAACCTGAAATGAATGAAAGGTGGCGAGATAGGTAAGGGGGCCTGTTCAGAAACGCTGATAGCACTCTAGAGAAGAAATGGCAGTGGTGTGAACTTGAAGCAAAGGTAGAATTAGAGCGGTGGATCAGACATTCGAGCTGTGAAGACCATCTGTTATGTTTGCTGAGCGTGTGTGAAAACAAAACTATCTATCTTGTTTGCTGGGCAAGGGGTCACACTCTGGTTTCATTATGTTATTTGAGAGAGCATGACGTTTTCCAAGTGGAGTATGTGTGGCTAGAACCAAACCCAAGTCCTGGTACACAGCAAAGCCATTCACAGAGACATCAGGTATGCAGCAAGGAAAGTTTGAGAGGCAGTCAATGGAGGAGACAGGAGAGTAAGCCTGAAATTATCCTCTCCAAAGGGGGAGAGAACAAATTTTGTTTTGTTTTGTTTTGTTTTGTTTTTAATAATCATAGGGGTTAGGTTATATACATGTTGATGAAAATGGCAGGGTCTTATCCATGAGGTAGATGGAGCATGTACCTTAGTGACATATACGCATACATCCCATGTTCCCTTTGAAGTGGATGCTCAGCATCAGAAGGAGGCAAAATTTAGCCCCTGACCTCAGGAAATTATCTTAGGACAGGAGCAGAGGCTATGGTCCTGTGCTGAAAGCCTGTATAACCTGCTTTGGGTCTTAGCTCCTTATATCTGGTAAAGAATGCACAACCTTGCTTATTCATGGAATAGAGCCATATCCGCTGACCTTGATTCCAGGCTTCTGCAGAGACAGCTCATCAGTTTGTTAGTAGGTCTGAAAAGATACAATACCTGATTAGGGAGACATAGTTCTCTGTTAAAAAAAATGGGGGGGAGATATAAACTTTCTGGTAGTATTAACCTCATTTACCTTATGGGGTATAATTTCAGGGAGGCAATTGAATATGGACTAATCACGTGTTACTCTAACATTTCTGAAGCCTCCACTGGGTACAGAGTGCAGTAGAAAAAGATGACCTATGATCTCTGACCTCTAGGAACTTGCCTTCTGTGAGGAGACTGAGCCCGAAGTGACAAATTATCATCGTTTTTTTTCAGACTATGGAAGAGTCATTGGAGCAGAGTGCTATGGCCTACAGAAGGCTTCTTAGAGGCAAGGCGAGTTTTGAAATGAATTTAGGAAAAAATGGGGAAGGTTGCATACCTATATATATATTTAAGACTATAAACATTGGGGTTTTTTTTGTCTCTTCAATCTATCATTGCAAGAAAATTCAACTTATTCCCCATCAAATAAAAAGTTATTAGGCTGTTATTTAAAGCAAGGCAAGGGACATCCTCCATGACTCCCACCACCTGGGTAAAAGCATCTAAGAATTAATAAAATCTTGCCAAGGGTCTTTCCATTTATGCTGTATTACCTGCCTACTGCCAGACCACAGCCCTTGGCTGGTGAATGAAATAAATACTTACATATATTTTTAAAAATACATAAAATAAAACATTAACATTTTCTCATTTTCTTATTATCTTATCCTTAGATGCCTGTGGTGAACCACCAAAATATGACTCTATGACGCTGAAGAGTATCCTTAAAAACTATTATGCAGTTGGGGAGAAAATATTTTATGAGTGTAATCCAGGGTACTACATTACGTTTCCTGTCTCGACTTATTGTGAGAAGAATCACTCATGGTTCCCTATCCCAGAAGGTTGTTCAAGTAAGTGAACAAAAAAACTGTGCGTGTGTGTGTGTATGTGTGTGTTTTTGCTTTCGCTGGAGACTTATAAATTTTACAGCAAGATTTTTTCTCATGTGAAAATTGGTTTCAGATAGCAGTACTCTTTCCAGTATTTGAGAAATCCCTAGGGGATCTTTTTCTTGGTGATTGTTTATCTGGTTAAATGTGAATTTTAAGTTTGTACACCAGTTAGTTATAGAGAATAATATTGCATTAATTGCAGAGAGTAGTGCAAAATTTTGATTTTGATTTAAATCTGTTTTGAAATCAGTGTTAAAAAAAACACAAATTTTAAAATTTTTATTTTAGAGAAAGAATGTAATTATCCAAGAATCAAAAATGGTGAATTTGTTTTCCCAAATTTCACCTCGGGATTTAATGATCAAGTTCACTTTCATTGTGATGAGGGGTAAGTTGCTCCTTAGAGGAAATAAGGTAAATGTTACTAATTCCATTTTTTTGTTTTGTTTCTCAAGCTTTCCCAGAAAGTGGATTTTATTTGCTTTCTATGTGACAAGTCACACTTATTGCCATACAACCCTTGGGCTTTTTATAGAGACTGAAAAGATGCCTAAGTAATTCAGAGAAATTTATATTGAAGGAAAGCAAAATTGTCTAATACTTAATATATCTAATAATAAGTGTATTGTAAGCATCAAAATGTAGTAATCACAGCAATTTAATTCTTGACAAAGTGCACCCTATTTAAAATGCCAACTCTCACATTTGAAGGAAGACTCACAGAAATACTGTCTTCTTGAAGTCCTTTATTTCCTTACTTGTATTGTCTGGTTATTCTCTCCATTACTGTGAACTGGGTACTAAAGTCTCCAACTAGCAGAAATGACTATTATGTAGAAATGTGTATCTCTTTATTCAATTCTGTCAGTTTTTGCCTCATATGTTTTGATGGTCTGTCATCAGGTGGCATAAATGTTCACAGCTGTTAAGTCTTCTCACTGTGTGAACCCTTTATTAATATATAATGTATTTTGCCTCTTGTAATATCTTGATTTAAAGTCTATTTGGTCTGATATAAAAGTATAGTCAACCTTACTCTCTTTTGATTACTATTTGCTGAAATATCTTCTTTAGTTCATTTACTTTCAACCTGTTTTTGTCTTTGGATCTTAAGCAAGTATATAGTTGGGTCATGTGTTTTCATCCATTCTACCAATCTCTGTCTTTTTTTTTTAATTTTATGTATTTATTCCTGCGATATATATAGAGAGACACAGGCAGAGACACAGGCAGAGGGAGAAGCAGGCTCCATGCAGGGAGCCCGACATGGGACTCAATTCCAGGTCCCCAGGATCACACCCCGAGCCAAAAGCAGACGCTCAACCACTGAGCCCCCAGGTGTACCTCCTCTTGTGTATATTCTATGACTGTTTTCTATGTGGTTATCTTGGGGATTATATTTAACATCCTGAAATTATAACACTCTAATTTGAATTTATAGCAGTTTAATTTCATAACATACAAAAACTCTGCTCCTTTATAACTCCATCCCCACTCCATTTTGTTGTTTATTACACAACATTACATCTTTATACATCGTGTGTCCCAAAACATAAACTGATAGTTCTTTAAATTAGTCCTTTAAGTTATGTAGAAAACAAGATTTGGAGTTAAAAACTAAAGTTTCAGTAATACTGTTTTATATTTCCTTTTTTTTTTCTTTCAATGTATCAGTCTCTTAAGTTATAAAGAAAACAAAAAATTGCAATCATAAGCCATTGTTACAATAATATAAACTGTTATAATTGCTCATGTATTTGCTCATAAGCCATTGTTACAATAATATAAACTGTTATAATTGCTCATATTTATTTCTCCATATGGCTCAAAATACTTTCTCATATCTTTTCACTTCATCTTGCAGGACTCCCTTGAGCATTTCTTATTGCTTGCAGGGGATATGTAGTGGTCACTAACTCTTTCAGCTTTTGTTTATTTATAAAGTCTTAGTTTTCTCTTCACTTTTGAAAGATAGTTTTGCTAAATAGATGATTATTGGTTGATGGTTTTTTTTCTTCTTGCACTTTTTTGAGTATACTCTCCCAGTGTCTTCTGGCCTCCAAAGCTTCTGATAAGAAATCTGTTGATATTATTATTGAGGATCCCCCCTTGTTTGATGATGACTCTCTTCTCTCTTCCTACTTTTGAGATTCTCTCTTTGTTCAGTGTTTTGGTTTTTAATGTCTGGCTCCTGAGAGGGGAAAAAGTGAAAAATGAAGTGAGGAACAAAGAACACTGGATGTTTAAATGCCCTGGAAGTCACTTCAGACAGTTAGAAAGGGACTTATGAGAGTTAGGGGTAGGTATGATGAGAGTGGCTGCCCACTTCTTTGACTGTTTCTCTGTGATTAGAAGCAGAATTCAATAACAGCACGGATCCTCAATGTCTGGAGGACAGGGTCCCTTTTGCCCCTCCCCCCATGCTCCTAAAACTGCTTCTAAGCTGCTCCAGGAACAAATACACAGCTGCCTGCAGTGGGTGGGAGATGCGTACCTGACACTGTGTTAAGATGATAGTGACTGAAATCAATGCAATTCACCTGTCCAAGTCTTTCCTTAGAAATTACAAGCCATCAACAGACTCTGGAGTTCCACAATAACTCCATCAGGCAGATTCTGTCCTTGCAGTTGTCTGGTTGGGGAAATAGATTCTTAGTACTTCCTACTCTGCCATTTTCCCAGAATCCTCTCCTAAATACCATTGTGTAGAAAAAAGGCAATTGGATCCATATATAAACAGCTTCACCAACTATTTTTTTTACCTTGATCAAGTAAAAATATTGGAACATCTAGTTGGTAGTTATATAGAGAGAGCCCGTTAAGCAGTTTGAGGGGTACCAAACACTTAAGACATATTCTCTTCTCAAAGAAGTTGTAGCCTTATTAAGAAACACAGTATATACAGAGAGGTGTCAAAGGAAAATAATAAATGAGAAGTAGCGAATAAATGGAATTATTCATGATTACTACAGTAGGAGTCTAGCAGGAGAAAGGAGTACCATGAACTTAAAACCCAAGAGAAAATTTCATTGAGTAAGATTCCTGAGCTAGACCCAGAAAAATATTCTTACCTAAAAAATATTAACAAGAGCTAAAATTTAGCTAGCACTCACTATGTGTCAGGTGCTAGTCTAATTTAATCATTTAAACAGTCCCATGAAGTATGCAATGTTATCCCCTTTTCATAAATGAGGACGCTGAGTAATAGGACCATTTAGGGACTTGCCTGAGCTCAAATCCAAAGTGATTCATGGAGCTGGGGCTCAGATCCAGACAGGCAAGCTCTAGGGCCTAATCTCTCTACTTGGTCGTTGATTTTACTGAGAAGAATGGTGTGAACATAAGCATAGAAATGAATGTGTAGTGTGATCGCTAGAGATAGCAAAGAGACCAGACTGACAGGTATATGGCAGATTTATTTAGACATCTTTGCTTTTGGTCAATGAGTACTCAAAATGTAGAAACTCTAATTAATTGTAAATATGGTTAGCACTTTCACTATATACTGTTATTTAAGAAGCTTCTCTAAAAAAAAATAAAATAAAAAAATAATAAAAATAAAAAAAATAAAAAAATAAAAATTAAAAAAAAGAAGCTTCTCCCTCAAACTATTGTTGTGTAGTAAAGCAACAGTATTAAAATTTTCATTTTTGGGATCCCTGGGTGGCGCAGCGGTTTGGCGCCTGCCTTTGGCCCAGGGCGCGATCCTGGAGACCCGGGATCGAATCCCATGTCGGGTTCCCGGTGTATGGAGCCTGCTTCTCCCTCTGCCTGTGTCTCTGCCTCTCTCTCTCTCTGTGACTATCATAAATAAATAAAAAATTAAAAAAAAAATTTTCATTTTTATGTGCATCTTGTTAACTAACAGAGAAAATAGAAAGTTTTTCTTTTCTCAGTTATCACTTAGAAGGAAATGCAATTTTGACTTGTAACCTTCAAGGAGATGAGGTGTATTGGAGTGATGAATTCCCACAATGTGAAAGTAAGTAAATTTTCATTTTAGAATTTAGATCTGCAAGCCTCAATCTTTTAGGCCTCAGATCCCCTTTAAGCTTTTAAGTTGACAAAGATCCCAAAGACCTTTTCTTTATGTGGGCTGTGTTTATTGATATTCATCATATTGGAATAAAAAAATGAGAAGTTTTAAAAATAATCATTCATTCATGTTTAGGAATAGTAAGCTCAATACCTGTTAACATATGCAACACATTTTTATGAAAAATAAATCTTCCATAGCAAATACTGAAAGTAGTCCCATTGTTTTACATTTTTGCAAATCTCTTGAATATCTGGCTTAAAGAAGGATATCTGAATTCAGTCTCTTGTGAAATCACATAATTTGTAGCCTTGGAAAATTTCATGGTTATGTTCATAAGGATGAAAGTGAAGAAAGACAATATCTTGGTATTATTGTGAATCACTCATTTAGCAAATGGGTGTATATATATATATACACTGATGTAAAAACTGATGTATTTAAATATTTCAAGAATTTCTCAGCTAGCAGTAAATTTTATTTTTAATTACAAGCATATTAATTTAGCATATTTATTAATTATTTAATAAATTTAGCATATTTAATTTTCTCATTAAATTTTCAGTACCTTTTATAATGACTAGAACAAAACTTAGCATGGCCTTATAAAGTAATAATAAGTATTTTATATAGGTATTCAAGAAAATGAACTTTGTTTTGAAAATTCATTTGTGTATGGTTTGAATTTGGGATAATACATTTTCTCATAGAAACTGAAATAGATATTAGATTCACAGCTAGCCTATAGAAATTATGTTAATGAATTACTGAAGGTAGCTCATAGGACTTTATAAGGCTCTCTTACCACCTTTCCTTTATTTCTTCTTTTTATTTCCTTTATAAGAGATTTACTGTCAACCACCTGCAAAAATAAAAAATGGAAAACACACCAATAGCCACAGAACTATTTTTGAATATAATGAATTAATTACTTTTAGTTGTAATCATCTAAAAGGATCAGATCAATATTCCCTTGTTGGAGAAAGAGAACTTACTTGTATTGAGAAAAACAAGTGGAGTAGTCGCCCTCCTCAGTGTAAAGGTAATGATATTTCCATTTATTTCCTTCTTCATTTGTAAATTGTAAATTTGGAAACATTTTGTAAATAGTTTTATCTGTAAGTAAACAAAATAGTCATCTGTGCCTCCTCCTGGTAAATTGACTTCCAATGTAGGTTAATACAGGTCGAGTGAAATCAGTTCCAATTATAGAGTTTCCTGCTCCTCATCCCAAATGTTCTCAGCATTCTAGTTCACATGGTGGACTGTGTATATGCATGAGTTAGGAATTTTTTTGCTTGAAAGAACCCAAAAATTCAACACATACTGGGTTAAAAATAAGAAAATTTTTTTCTTATAAGATATGAAAGTTCTGGCTACAGAGTAAATTGTAAAAGAGTAACCATCTCACTGCCAAGAGATAAGCTCTGGACAAAACATATTTTAAAAACAATGTTTAAGGGATCCCTGGGTGGCGCAGCGGTTTAGCGCCTGCCTTTGGCCCAGGATGCGATCCCGGAGACCTGGGATCGAGTCCCACGTTGGGCTCCCGGTGCATGGAGCCTGCTTCTCCCTCTGCCTGTGTCTCTGCCTCTCTCTCTCTCTCACCGTGTGCCTATTATAAGTAAATAAAAATTTAAATAAATAAATAAATAAATAAATAAATAAATAAATAAATAAAAACCATGTTTAAGACACTGGAGAGTGATCGAAAGCAAGGAGGCACTAGAGGGATTTTACTCTTGGAAGAAAGGAACCACTGAATAACAGCAAAATATTTATTCTTTTCAAGTGCACATGGAACATTCTCTAAAACGAGCAAGATAATTTTTAAGAAATTTCAAAAAACTGAAATTTTTCAGAATACATTTGTTTATTGCAATGGAATGAAGGTAGAAATCAAGACAGATAACCCAGAAAATCTTCAAATATTTGATAATTATGCAAGACACTTTTTTTATTTTTTATTTTTATTTTTTTTTGCAAGACACTTCTAAGCAACCTATGAATCAAAGAAGAATTCATAAGAGAATTTAGAAAGTGTTTTGAATTGAATAAATATGAAAACATGGCATATCAAAATTTGTTACAACAAAAACATTGCTTTGAGGAAAATTCATAACATGAAATAGTTATGATAGAAAAAAAGAAGTCTTAATAATCTGTGCTTCTAAAAAGAAGAGCAGATTAAACTCAAAGAGACAGAGGGACACCTGGGTGGCTCAATGGTTGAGTATCTACCTTTGGCTCAGGTTATGATCCCAGGGTCCTGGGAGATCGATTCCTGCATCAGGCTCCCTGCAGGGAGCCTGCTTTCCCTCTACCTATGTCTCTGCCTCTCTCTCTCTCTCTCTCTCTCTCTCTCTCTCTCTCTCTGTGTGACTTTCATGAATAAATAAAATCTTTAAAAAGCAAACAAACAAGGAGACAGAAGGAGATAATATCAATAGAAATAAGTCAATGAAATTGAAAAGAGAAAATTAATGAAACCAACACCTGGTTCTTGGAGATAATAAGATATATAACGTAGCCAGACTGAAAGAAAAAGAGAGGATACTTTATCAGCATCAAGAATGAAGAAGAGGACAACACTAAATATCCTACAGATGTTTAAGGGATAATAGGGGAATATTATGAAAACAACTGTGCCTATAAATTTGACAACTTATATATGAAATAGGCAAATTCCTTGAAAGATACAAAATACCAACCAAAGCTCACTCAGATATACATAACCTGAATAGTCATCATCTTTTTTTTTTTTTTAAGTAAACTCTGTGCCCAATGTGGGGCTTGAATTCACAACCCCATGATCAACAGTCACATACTTTACCCACTAAGCCAGCCAGGTACCCCTGAATAGTCTTATATCTATTAAAGAAATAGAATGTTTAGTTAAATACCTTCCCACAATGAGAACTGCAGGCCCAGATGGCCTCCATAGAAAGTTCTAACAAACATTTCAGAAATAAAAAATAGTATGTCTATGCAAATTCTTCAAGACATATAAGAAAAGAGAATACTTCTCAACTCCTTTCATGAGAACAGCATTATCCTTATGACAAAACCAGAAAAAACTTTGCAAGAAAATTACAAACAATATCTTTAATGAACACAGAATCAAAACTTCTCAACATAATATTGACAAAGCAAATCCTGCCTTATATAACAATAATAATACATCATAGCAGAGTAATATTTATTCCATAAATGCAAGAATTCAAATGTAAAAATTAATCAGTGTAATTTACTAGATCAAGACTCTGGATAAGAAAAAAATGTGACTTTCTTAATAGATGTTTAAAAAAAGCACTTGACAGAATTGATCTTTTTTGGGATAAAATTTCTCAACAAGCTAGGAATGGAAAGGAAGCAACTATCTCATCATAAAAGGCATCAACAAAATCTCAGAGCTAACGTTATACTTAATTCCCTAAGTGTAAATAAGACTAATTTCCCCCAAGGTAGGAAAAAGAGGAGGAAGTCCATTCTCACCACTCTATCCAGCATTGTACGGGATGTCCTAGCTACTACGAGGCAAGAGAGAGAATTAGGCCTACATGTTGGAAAGTAAGAAAGTAAGGCTCTGTTCCCTTATGACTTGATTATGTAGAAGATTCCAAGGACCTAAGTTTTAACAAGTTTGCAAAATATAAGATCAACGTACAGAAGACAGTTATATGTCTGTATAATAGCAATAAATCATTAGAAATAGAAATTTTAAGAAGTATTTACAGTAGCTCCAAAACATAAAATACTTGAGTATAAATCTAACAATATATATGTAATATTTTAATGCTAAAATATACTAAACACTAATAAAGGAAATTAAACCTTAATAAATGAAGAGATATACATTAGTTATGGTTTAGAAGATTCAATATAATAGTTCTCTGTAATTTATCTAAATTCAGCAAAATCCCAATAAAAATCCCAGCAGAACTTTTTGTATAAAATAAACTGACTACAATTTATATGGAAAGACAAAATTACTAGAATAGTGAAAACAATTTTGACAAAAATTAGTGGATTCACTCTGATATTAAAACTATATAAAGCATACGTAAGGCATATAATCAAGACAATGTGGTATAGGTGAAAGCATAGCTATATAGAACAATGGCATAGAATACTGAATCCAGAACTAGATGCTTGTCAATATATCCTGTTGATTTTCTTCAGGTGTACAGGTGTACAAACAATTCAGTGGAAAAACGATGTTTTCAACAAATGGTATAGCACAATTAGAGATCCATGTGCCAAAAAAAAAAAAAAAAAAAAGGAACCTTGAAACCTTGACTAATGTTAGCACCATAATCCAACAGTTACTCAAAATGGATCATAGAGATCCAGTAAGTCCACTACTGGTTATTTGCCCAAAGAAAATGAAAAAGAAAAAAAATTTTAAAAAGATATATGCACTCCTGTTTATTACAGTATTATTTACAATAATCAAGATACGGAAGCAACCTGAGTGTCTATCAATAGGTGAATCACTAAAGATGTGATGCACACACACATACACACACACACAGAGGAATTTTACATAGCCATAACAAAGGATGACACTTTGCCATTTGTGAAAACATGAATAGGCCTGGAGGATACTGTGCTAAGTGAAATAAGTCAGACTGAAACAAATAAATATCATATGATTTCACTCATATGTGGAATCTAAGAAACAAAACAAATGAAGAAACAAACAAAACTAATTCAGACCCGTAAATACAGAAAATATGGTTGCCAAAGGAAAGAGAGGTAGAAGATGAACAAAATGGGTGAAAGGGAGTGAGAGATACAAACTTCCCATTATAGAATAAATAAGTCATGGAAATAAAAGGTGCAGCATAGAGAATGTACTCAATGATATTGTGTGGTAACAAGTGGTGACCACACTTGTGGTGAGCATAGCATAACATATAGAGTTGGTGAACACCTGAAACTAAGATAATGTGTGTCAACTATATTCAAATTTTTAAAATTAAAAATAAATAAAATTTAGAGGGAAAATGGATCATAGATTACATGTAAAACCTAAAACTGTACGATTTTGGCAAGAAAACATATAAAATATTTGTGACCTAACCAAAGATTTATTAAATACCACCCATAAAGCATGATCTTTGAAAGAAAAAAATTTAAAAAAAAGAAAAAAAAATTGCATGTTCTAAACTCAAAACTTCTGGTCTACAAAAGAACTGTTAAAAGAATGGGTAAAAAGTGAGCAGTAGACTGGGAGAAAATATTTGCAAAGCACCTATCTGATAATGGACTTTTATCTATGATACATAAAAAATTCTCAAGCTCAATAATTAGAAAACAAACTAGTTTTTAAAAAACGAACAAAGTATTTGAGTAGACCTAGTTCAATAAACATGATATATGGACGGCAAAAAAGTACGTGACGAGTTTCTCAATATAATTAGTAATTTAAGAAATGTATTTTAAAACCAAAAAAAGATACCACTAAACATCTATTAGGATGACTGAAATCAAAAACAAATAACTTACCATATGATTCATCAATCAAAATAAAATAAAATCATACTCACATAGGAACCTGTGTGAGAATATTCAGCTGCTTTAGTTATAATCACCCCAAACTGGGAACAACCCACTTGTCCTTCAACTGGTGAGTGAATAAACAACCACGGTACATCTACACAATGGAATACTCCTCAGCGATAGAAAGGAGTGTGCTCTAATCCATGCAGCAACGAGAATGAATCTCTAATGCATTATGCTAAGTGAAACAAGCCATACTCAGGGGCAGTGGTCCCATTATGACATTCTGGAAAAGCAACTGTATAGAGATAGAAAACAGATCAGTGTTTGGCTGGTTGGTGAGGGGGTTGTGGAGGTGGGGAGGGTTGATTACAAAGGGGCATGAGGAAATGTTGGGGGGTAATGGAACTCTTCTGTGTCTTTACTGTGGTGATTGCATGATTATTTGCATTTGTCAGGCCTAATACAGCTGTACACTTAAAAGGGTGAGTTTTACTGTATGTAAACTGTGTCTAGCAAACATAAGGAAAACCATTAGTGCAGTTAACAGCAGTGTAGCGCGACAGGGAAAAGATCGGTGAACCTGAAGTCAGGAGAATATGATTGGAAACGAATGATTAGAAAGAGAGAGACTTACAGATCCGTGGAAGAAGAGCAGGAAGTCAACATACGTGCTGTTGGTACTTCAGAAAGAGAGGAGAAAGAGCAGTATGGAGGTGATTTGAATAAATATTGGCCCCAAATTACCCACATTTGTCCCAAAACAATAACCTCACAGAAACAAGGAAGTCTGACCCCAGCAGGATAAACACATTGTTCTAATTTACCAAGAAACCCCCACTGAACTAAACACATCATGGTAGAACTAAAAGGGTCAAGGCAAAGCAGCCAGGAAGAGGGGAGAATAAACACATGTCACAGTGTCCTCCCCCAAGTAAGAGTGACAGCTGACTCATGCTGAGGAACAGTGGAGACCGGAAGACAGTATCTGCTAGCGTGCTGGAAAAACCCCAAAACGTGTAATCTAGAATTCTCCGTCAAGGAGAAGTCTTTCAAGACTGAGGTGATGAAATGAAACCTTCTGAGATAAACCCACGCCAAGGAAATTTGTCATGAGCCGACCTGCACCATGGGAATTGCTACAGGAAGTTCCTCAGGCAGAAGGGGAATGAGAGCTGATGGAAAGTCAGAACCCTGGGGAACAGAGGAAGAGCAGTCCTCTCGTTGAAAGAGCAGTCCTCTCTCCTCTTTCTGGCCCTTGTCTGTTGGTCAGATTGAACGTCCTAGGATGTTCTGGTGTAGTCCCTGCCCCAACCCTGTGGTGTTGGTTTTTGGTTCCAAATTCTGCCAAGCCCCTTAGTAGATCCTGAGAGCGATCTATCAGGTCATGACCAGTAGTTTACTTGGTAAGAAGCAGAGTAGAATGGGAAATTGAGCAGAGTCCACTGGCATGAGGCTAACTTTTGTATTTCAGGCCTGCGTGCTCACATACTGGTTTACAGGGTAAAATGTGCCATTTGATCTCTAGGCTGCAGGCCAAGATGTTTGGAAAACGCTGCCCTAAGTCCACTGGCCTTTCCATTTCTTGCACATCTCTGTTTGTGTATGTTGTTGCTCCCTGAGAACGACCTTTCTGCGTATGTGTGCATGGCTACCTGCTTTTCGACTTTTAAGTTTGAGCTCAAGTATTACTTTCTCAGAAGAGTATGTGTTCCCTGCTTTCCTGGGAAAGCAGGGTACTGCAATCAGTGTCAGCATGACCTTTAAAAAAATCCCTAGAGCAAAGGACGATCAAAAGTTGCTCTTGAACTTACCCCAAATGTGTATGTGGCGGTCAGACCTTTCTCAAAACTTGTCACTAATGGGAAAAAATGTAGGAAAGCCAATAAACTATAATGTTAGTCTTCTCTAGGAGGAAAATAGTTACTAGATTTTTCTAAATCCATTTCCCTGGAGTTAAAATATACATATATATACCAGGTTCTTACGTAGTTTTTTTTTCCTTTTAATTAACATCTTACCTTTCATTCCTTGTATTTTTCTTCACACTGGGAATTATTATTTTGCACAATTTTTTCTGATCCTGTGCTAAAGTAGCTTTCCATTAATTCTAGAGTTTCTCTATTTTTCAGTGGTCAAATGTGACTATCCAGTAATTGAACATGGAAGACTGATAGCAGGAATCAAAGAAAAATATTACTACCAAGCAATGGTTCTACTTGAATGCCTCCCAGGCTTCTATCTTAATGGCAGCAACAGAGTGTTCTGTGGTGAGAATAGTACTTGGGATCCTAAAATACCAAAATGTATTAAAGGTACAAATGTCTTTTTCCATCTTTTTGTTTTAGTTTTTATTTCTTTGACATTATATATCAGTGATACTGAATCACTGAGAAAAGGAAATTTTAGTATTTAACTCTGTCTTGTATTTATTTCCATGACAGAGACATGACATAATTTCTATGTTGTGATTCTGTATATTTTCATAGGGTCTTAACATGTCAGTTATATAAATTTCTCCTGTATAGTAGTTTTTTAAGACTTTATTTATTTATTTGACGGAAGGAGAGAGAGAGGGAGAGCACAAGCAGGGGGAGCGGCAGGCAAAGAGAGAGGGACAAGCAGGCTCCCTGATGAGTAAGGAGCCGGATGTGGAGCTCTATTCCAGGACCCTGGGATCACGACCTGAGCTGAAAGCAGATGCTTAACCGAGTGAGCCACCCAGGCGCCCCTTGTGTAGTATTTTTATGTATAAGAATGCATAGCAGTCGCTTTTAGAGTGAATTGAAACATGAAAATGTTTACATTTATAGGTCAACAATAAAAGGTATAATTCATATAAATGAAATGAAAGCAGTAATTCCCAAGTAGTTGGTTCTACATCATTGTGTTTTTCAGTACCAACTTCTCCCAATGTAAAGCCTCTAATTTTTTTTAAGATTGTATTTATTTATTCATGACAGACAGAGAGAGAGGGGGGGGTGCAGAGACACAGGCAGAGGGAGAAGCAGGCTCCATGCAGGGAGCCTGATGCGGGACTCAATCCTGGGACTCCAGGATCCTACCCTGGGCCAAAGGCAGGCGCCAACACTGAGCCACCCAGGGATCCCCATAAAGTCTCTAATTTTGAGTCATTCAGATTAGTACTCTCCTGCTTATGTTTTACAAAAATCCTTTACATTCATGTGATTTACACTCATTCATCACTTTTAGTAATGAAAGGATGAAGGATATGTGTATAGTCATTTTAGTTGTTATATCTAATTATTCTAAAATTATTTGGTGTAGTCTGCAGATATAAACAGGTGTGTAAAGCTGGGCAAGTTACATAAAGTGCAAATGGGATGCATTTAGCACTTAGCACAGTACCTGGCATATAGGAAGCTCCTAAAGGTAGCTTATATGACTTACAGGATCACTCGAATTAATATTAGTGAAGAAGGCCTATAGCTTCTGTTTTTTAACATGCATGTTTTCTGTGTCATTGCATTTGCTGTTTTATTCCTTTTAAAAGTGATGTAATCTGTTAGCTCCTTTAGGGTATCTTCCTGGTCCAGGACTATGTCTCAATTACTGGACTGCAATCAGCTTAGTTTTTGTTTTTTTATGTAGCACAGTATATTTTTTTTAAGATTTTATTTTATTTGAGAGAGAGAGAGAGCACACAAGCATAGAGAGGGGCAGAAAGAGAGGGAAAAGGAGATTCCTCCCTAAGCAGGGAGCCTGATGTGGGGCTCATTCCCAGGACCCGGGATCATGACCTAAGCCAAAGGCAGACAGACGCTTAACCCACTGAGCCACCCCGGTGTCCTATGTAGCACAATTTAAACTGGGAAATTTCTGTTGTCTCCAGAATAAGACCTGTATGTCTTCCTCCAGCCCCATCCCTTCCTGCTTCACACAATTATTCTTTTTTTCTTCACTGCACCTAAATTTGGCAACTGCACCTAAATTTTATTTGGCAACTGCACCTAAATTTCATAGCAACCAAAAGCCTAGAAAAATCTTTATTAATTGAAATGAAATGGAGATTTCTTTCAGAGACTGCTTGTCAGCTACTCTACTTAAGACTTGAAAGATGATTTTACTATGATGGAAGGAAATATATTCCTGATTTCAGTGCTGCTGTCTCTGACCTCTCTTTGCAGCAGAAAGAAGGAGATGTTAGGAATAGTGGGAAGAGCATTAGCCTGGGCTGACCTCACTCACGGTTTTGATTGGCTCTGCTTATTCAGATAACCTCATTTCTGTGGACTCTAATTTCCTATGTCATGAAGGTGTTGACCTCAAACACATCATGATTATTGGCTTTTAATTTGTATATTTCCTATGGCCATACTATTTCAAAGGATTTGGAAGAATTATGCATGTTAACATGGTAATGAGAACACTTCTTTTTATAATTCCTATAAACCTAGCCTCCTTGTGTACTTTAGTTGAGTGCTGTGAGGCTTAGGGGAAATAAATGGTTCTTTTGGTGGGCTGATAAAATAAGATTGTATGTGAAATTTATATTCCTTGACCCATCCATGTTTACTCACATGGTCCTGGTGGGTATACACACTGTGGTATACTATGTTTGTTGATATGCTCTTTTGAAGGAGTTGAACCATAAACATTTCATAAGAGATTTATAAAAAACTGATAGAGTTTAGTTTTTGGAAGAATCATGAGAAAAAGCTTTTGGAGAGGAGAAGCTACAGGGATCTTTTTCAAAAATAAAATCAAAACTCTCCATGGGATTGTCATTTTTTATCATCAATTGAGAAAGTCTTTATCAAAAGATCAGCAACATAGAATGGTGTTAAGGCATATCTAAATGTGCAAATATATTTTAAAAAGCCCAAGAAATACTAGGCAGAGAAGAAAAAAGATATGTCTTATGTAGTATGATACCACTTGGATGGTTTTTTTTTTTTAAGATATGTGTGTTTACTCTGAACACATTATTTTTATGGTTTATTATCAGTTAACTTCCAGGATTTCCATATAATATACAAAGCTGTAGTGAATGTTCTTGTGTACTTATGCAGATATATATTAGGTTAAATACCTAGAAGTAGAATTGCAAAGCTTCGAAAGCATGTGTGTTTTTCATTTTGAGAAATTATGAATCATTTTTAAAAATAAAAAATCAAAATTAAATCCATAATTTTATATTGATAAGGCTGGTGAATCAAATTTCTTTTCCCAGGTTTCAAGCCTACTCATCCAACCAAACCTCCAGTTTCAAGATATCCAGGTTCAGTAATTCTTTCTCCTGCTTATATTGCTAACAACTTTATAAGATGATGAGTGCAAAGTTATATCTTGTTATAATTTGCATTTTTAAAATAAATCGTATTTATTTATTCATGAGAGAGAGAGAGAGAGAGAGGCAGAGACACAGGCGGAGGGAGAAGCAGGCTCCATGCAGGGAGCCCGACGTGGGATTCGATCCCAGGTCTCCAGGATCATGCCCTGAGCCAAAGGCAGATGCTTAACTGCTGAGCCACCCAGGCATCCCTGCATTTTTTAAGTTACCAATGAAGCTGAACATTTTTGGTCTACATTGATTTATCCATGCCTTTTGCTCATTTTTTGAAATTAGGTTTCTAAAATATTTTTCTTGTTGATTTGTGAAAGCTCGTTATTATAAGTTAAAACCCTTCTAATATGAAGTGAACATTTTTTTTCAGGGGCTTTTTGGCCTTATTTTCACTAGTCAATTTTATTTTAAGATTTTTTTTATTGTATTCAATTGGTTATAGATTGCTTTTTTTGAAAATATTTTATCTATTTATTTGAGGAGGAAGGAAGGAGAAAGAGCATGAGGAGGGAAGGGGAGAGGGAGAAGCAGAACCCTGCTGAGCAGGGAGCCTGATATGGGCGGAGTTCCACCCCTGGACCCCAGATCATGACCTCATGATTGCTTTTTATAACTTTTTGTTGCATGAGTGGCATACAAATATATTTTTGTAAATTTTCAAACATTGTGAAAGTGTACAGAGCAAAGAATTACCCTTCTTTTTTTCTCTAGTTGATTAACTAAATTAATCATAGTTATTAGTTTAGGGTGTCTATTTCTGTACATCAACATCCTTCGATATGTAGTTATACATATAGTTGGACATCTTTTCTTTTATCTTAAATAAAATTGACATCATATTGTATATATTTTTCTGAAACTTGCACTTTTTCCATTTAATGTCTTATATGGGGGTTGTATTTAGATTTACTAGGTCAATGATGACCTTGAAATGTATACCATATTGATTTGGTTAGCTATTCTGTTAGTGTTCTTTTACACGTGTAGTTATTTTATATCAATAGATAGATGGATTAGCAGATGTAATGATCTTTTCCCTAATGGCTACACATGTTGTGTCTTCCTTATAAAAGTTTTAGGCTTTCCCCATGCTACAACTTTATAAACATTTTAACCCTGAGTTCTGATTGCAGTCTTTGCATTTAAATCATTGGTGCATCTGAAATTCATTATGGTGCATGGAATGAGACAGCGTTCCTGTCTCCTCCACCCACCCCCACCCGGTGGCCAAGGAGGGACATCTGTTGAGTAAATTGTCCTCTCTCCAACAATTTTCAAGAGCCACTTTTGTTGTCATTAAATTCATAGGTCTTCTGGTCATCTTTCTGTTTCCTTGGACTCTGACAATTCTCAGGGCAGCACTGAATTGTTCTTTTTTTCTCCCCACTCTAACAGAACTATGATCTGTTTTAATATGTGGCAGGAACACCTTTTCAGAAATATTTGGACCATTCTGTATGTTAATAAAAGATAAGCTTTTATTATATTTTATTACTATTTTAACCATGGTAAGTGTACATTTCAGTGGACGCTACCATCCATCTCTAAAACTTTTCTATCATCTCCAATTGAAACGTTACATTCATTAAACAGTAACTCCACCCCCCCCCCCCAGCCCTGGTAACAATTCTGTTTTCTGTCTTTAGGAATTTGGCCAGTCTAGGTATTTTATAGAAGTGAAATCATTTCTGCCACATCTCACTTGGATGTAAATCGTTGTCAGATTCAACATCATGAAGCATGTGCTCTTATTTGCTTCGAAGGGTTTTATAGTTTTAGATCTTTAGCATCTTTGATCCATTTTGAATTAATTTTCAAGTTTGGTGTATGGCAAGAGTTAAAATTCATCCTTTTGTGTATGTGATTATCCAGTTTTCAAAACCATTTGTGAAAAAGATTTCTGTTTCCCTATCAAATGTTATCAGCACCCTTGTGGAGAATTACTTGACTGTATACGCAAAGGTCTATTTTTTGGCTTCTAGTCCATTGGTCTGAATGCCCGTGCCATTCTGTTTGATTACTGTAGCTTTATAGTAAGTTTTTAAATCAGGAAGTATGACCCTTTCAAGTTTGCTTTCTCTTTTTCATGATTGCCTTGACTATTCCTAGTCCCTTGAGATTCTAAATGAATTTTTGGATGGATTTTTCTATTTCTGCAAAGAGCATCATTAGGATTTTGATAGCGGTTGCACTTCATCTGTAGATTGCTTTGTATCATATATACATCTTAACATTAGTAGATCCTCCAATCCATGAACACAGGATTGCTTTCCCTTTGTGTCTTTTTAAATTTCTTTCTACAATATTTTATAGTTTTTCAGTATACATGTTTATTTCAGTCTTTTACTCTTTTTGATTCAATTGTAAATGGAATTGTTTTCTTAATTTCCTTTTTAGATTGCTTCCTTTTAGTGTAGAAATGCAATTGATTTTCACGTGTTGACTTTGTCCTACAACTTTACTGAATTCATTTTTTAGTTCTACCAAGTTTGTGGTGTGTGTATGTCTCTGTGTGTGTCTGTGTAATCTTTGGAGTTTTCTATGCAAAAGATCGCGTCATCTATGAACAGAGATAATTTTATTTTTTCCCAATTTAGATGTCTTTTATTTCTTTTTTTACCTAACTGCTCTGATATAAACTTGCAATATTATGTTGAATAGAAGTGGCAAACACAGGCGCCCTCTCCTGCTTCTGACCTTTAGGGAAAAACTTTAGCCTTTCACTATTAAATATGTTGGTCATGGAGTTTTCATAAATGGCTTTTGTTAGGTTGAAAAGTCTTTCTATTCCAGACCAACTTTGAAACTGTTGTAACGTCCTCCTCTGTATTTTAATTTTAAATAGAATCATGTTGAATTCAGGCTAATTTTGAGGATATGGTAGCCCAATATTTGCTTCCACTACACAGAATATTTCCTGTGACAATAGAAAACTGTCCACAGGAAATATCAGTGGGCAGGAAGAAGGTTGTTGATGACATCAAATATAAATTTATAATTTACATACTGGCACAAAAACAGACACATAGATCAATGGAACAGAATAGAGAATCCAGAAGTGGACCCTCAACTTTATGGTCAACTAATATTCAACAAAGGAGGAAAGACTATCCACTGGAAGAAAGACAGTCTCTTCAATAAATGGTGCTGGGAAAATTGGACATCCACATGCAGAAGAATGAAACTAGACCGCTCTCTTGCACCATACACAAAGATAAACTCAAAATGGATGAAAGATCTAAATGTGAGACAAGATTCCATCAAAATCCTAGAGGAGAACCCAGGCAACACCCTTTTTGAATTCAACCACAGTAACTTCTTGCAAGATACATCCACCAAGGCAAAAGAAACAAAAGCAAAAATGAACTATTGGGACTTCATCAAGGTAAGAAGCTTTTGCACAGCAAAGGATACAGTCAACAAAACTCAAAGACAACCTACAGAATGGGAGAAGATATTTGCAAATGACATATCAGATAAAGGGCTAGTTTCCAAGATCTATAAAGAACTTATTAAACTCAACACCAAAGAAACAAACAATCCAATCAGGAAATGGGCAAAATACATGAATGGAAATCTCACAGAGGAAGACATAGACATGGCCAACAAGCACATGAGAAAATGCTCCGCATCCCTTGCCATCAGGGAAATACACATCAAAACCACAATGAGATCCCACCTCACACCAGTGAGAATGGGGAAAATTAACAAGGCAGGAAACCACAAATGTTGGAGAGGATGCGGAGAAAAGGGAACCCTCTTACACTGTTGGTGGGAATGTGAACTGGTGCAGCCACTCTGGAAAACTGTGTGGAGGTTCCTCAAAGAGTTAAAAATAGACCTGCCCTACGACCCAGCAATTGCACTGTTAGGGATTTACCCCAAAGATACAGATGCAGTGAAACGTAGGGACACCTGCACCCCGATGTTTCTAGCAGCAATGTCCACAATAGCCAAACTGTGGAAGGAGCCTCGGTGTCCATCGAACAATGAATGGATAAAGAAGATGTGGTTTATGTATACAATGGAATATTCCTCAGCCATTAGAAACGACAAATACCCACCATTTGCTTCGAGGTGGATGGAACTGGAGGGTATTATGCTGAGTGAAGTAAATCAATCGGAGAAGGACAAACATTATACGGTCACATTCATTTGGGGAATATAAATAATAGTGAAAGGGAATAGAAGCGAAGGGAGAAGAAATGGGTAGGAAATATCAGAAAGGGAGACAGAACATGGAAGCCTCCTAACTCTGGGAAATGAACTAGGGGTCGTGGAAGGGGAAGTGTGCGGGGTGTGGGGGTGACTGGGTGGCGGGCACTGAGGGGGGCACTTGACGGGATGAGCACTGGGTGTTATTCTGTATGTTGGCAAATTGAACACCAATAAAAAACAAATTTATTATTAAAAATAGAAAAAAATAAATTTATAATTTATGATACCACTCTTACTGAGAAACATTAGGGAAAATGAAATTATAAGTAGTTTTATACAAAGGCAAAAACCAAAAATCAGTGAATTTATGGATCTTTCAGCTTTCGTCTTTCTTTTTTACTTATTTCCATTTTTTCCCCTAGGTTATCCTGAGGCCAACGAATATCTATCAATTGACGACTTTGAAGAATTAGGTATAATTTTGACTACTAATTACTCTGCATTATGAGGGCTTGGAGTTCTACATGGACATATCTATTGTGTTCCAATTATTTGTAGTTAAGGAAGAAACAAAGTTTCACAAAATTTGACATTTACAATTATTTTAGTAGTCTAGATAAGATAATAAATGTAAGTGGTACTATGTATGGAGACCTGTAGGTAATTTACTCTAATTTAGGGAATTCTAATGGTCCTCATGAGCTTTACTAAATACCCTGGTGTAGTAGTGACAGCACAAAACAATGAAAAGTCAGATTCTGCTGAAGAGTTTCACAAAGTCCATCCTAAATCTGATAAAAAGAGTTCTGTGATCAGAATGAGCTGGACCTACTAGCACTTGTGCCCAAACTAACCTGAGCAACAGTTCTGTTGCCATAGCATATAGATGATCTGATCTAAATTAGATGCAGCTACCCCCCTGGGACCATTGTGTGCTCAATCTTCAAACTGTTTTCATTTTTTCTCAGATGTAGGCATCCTTGCTGTGATTGTTCTCACTATCCGTAAGTAGCCCAAACGCCGATGCCACTTAAATCAAAATATGACTGCCAAGAATTGCGTTATTTTTTAAATGACTTTTCAGTATCTATAGTTTATATAGCTTGAAATGAAGTACACCAGTCTAGAACAGCCTGACCTTGTATACGATACACTGATACACTACACACTACTACACTACACACTACGTTTTGCTGGTGGATGTATACCCTTTTATACTGTATGTGTCCACTTAGTAACAAAGCCTACTAAACACTACATGTGTTTTCGGGATGATTGGTCATGAGTTTGTGTCCCAAAGATGCTTTGGGTAATTTTCTAAACTAAGCAATTATTCTTCTGTGGTTTACTGTGGACTGTTCAAGTGACTCCAGGGAATGGACTTTAGATAGTGAAGAGTCCAGACAGAATGTAAAAAGATAATGTGCTTAAATAAAATAACATTTTTCTGACCACTGAAATGCAACCGACACTTACTTATTTCTGCTGCTAAATTTTGAGTCTTGGCAATCCATTCTCAGAGTTCTATGTCCTTTCCCGGTTTCTTACAGTTGTTGGCATCGTGGTACTTTGCACCTGCCTGTACAGATGTCTTAAAAGGGAGAAGAAAGGGTAAATTAAAGTATATTCCTTCCAGCTCATAATCCTTCTCACTCTTGACATACTTTTGTGCAGCTTTTTTATTTGTCCCACATGCTGTCTTTTTTGAAAACTATGCCTTTGTGAGTGTGCCATCCTGTTTGCATGTGTTTACTGAAACAATCTCTGGCTGCTTTTACTGTCACTGCACCCAGATCTCTCGCAGAGTGGCTCCAGCTATTAGGACTGCAAGAAACATTTCTGTGGGATTTGAGATTTAAAATATGTATCAAATCATGGACCATTCTGGTGCCTTCCCTACCCAGCTTTACCCTATTTCCTAGATTGGACTAGTGGCTGAGATTAGATTTAGAACTGTTCACTGTGAAGACTTGGGATGGTTATATGCACTGGAATTTTTACGATGGAAGTTTCCATCTGTCTATGCAACTCAGGTAATTATAAAAAGGTATGTAAATTCTCATGCAAATGCCCAACCTGATTTGCTTTTATTTAGAGTCGATACTTATCCTTGTTAAACTGGGGAAGGAAGAGCAGCACCATTTCATTTCCCTCTTACGTTCTCTTAATTTACTAGGTTGCCATAAAACTGATGGGGTTTATTAACATTACTGACGGGTAAGATTTACAAGGCACTGCATCAGCTCTATTCTTGTTTTTAATCTATAGAACAGCAAAAAAGAAGAGGCTTATAATAAAAAAAAAGTGTACAAGTACATATCTTCTAGGGAGAATAGAGTTTTTAAACATCAAACTTAAATTTTAATGAAATCTCTTTCAATTTAGCAAAAGACATAGAACAAATCCTAGAGCACAGACTAAGATTAGGTGCTTTGAAATGTCTGATTTGTAGTGATTTTTTTTTTTTTTTTTAGGAATTTTCTTTCCCTGTAGCTTTGGAAATAGATTTAAGATCAAATCTAACAATTTTTTTAAAGATTTATTTATTTACTTACTTACTTACTTGAGAGATAGAGTGAGAGAGCACAGAGGGAGAGAGAGAAGCAGACTCCCCACTGAACAGGGAGCCCCATGTGAGGCTCCATCCCAGGACCCTAGGACCATGACCTGAGCTCAAGGCAAATGCTTAACTGCCTGAAACACCCAGTCACCCCAACTCTAATCATTTTAAGGCTCTTGGTATTCATGGTTTTATGATATATTTTGTCTTTATATTAATCATTTGGTTTAGGCTATGTAAAAAAAAAGTACATTTTTTTACACAAAGAACTCAAAGTTTTTTATATTATTGCTTATCCTTTTTAAGTCACAAAGCCTTCATTTGAATCTTCAGTCTTATATTTGTAGAACACATGATATGTATATTGGATTTCTCAATCAGTAGTATATCTTCTAAATTACAAATACACAATAGTAGTGAGTAGGAAATATTGTCAGTGGACTATTTGTACAAGTCCATAAGTTTTGTGTAGAAAGAACTTCTCACAAAACAAAACAAAATAGCTCTCTGCTCCTCAGTTTTCCCTTTTTATTTAAATTCTCCTACATCAAAATACTTACTGGTTCCTTAACAAGTATTACTCTCTCCAGCTACCAATTAATGGATCTTGCAACCTGAGCCTCTGGTTTAATTTAAGATGGCAACGTTGGAGGACCCTAAACTCACCTCCTTCTCACATGCACGGAATCTACAGCTACATATAGAGCAGTTCTCTTGGAAAGAAATCTGAAAACTAACTGGATGGACTCCTATACATTTGTGGATAAAACACACATCAAGGGGCCCTGGCTGGCTTAGTCAATGGAGCATCTCTTGACCCTGGGGTCATGACTTCAAGCCCCACATAGGACGTGGAGCCTGCTTTAAAAAAAAAAAAAAAAAAAAAAAAAAACAAAATTCACATCAAAATGGGTAGGAGAGACTGGAATAGTATCTCGCCATAAACTCCTCCAAGAGTGGTAAACCCACAGTCAGGCAGGAAACCCACAACTCTGAGCGGCTTTCTGGGAAGCAAAATGTTTGAACCCCACATCTGGCACCCCATCCTTTAAGACCTGCACCGGAGAGATGGGTCTGCAAAACATCTAGCTTTGAAAGCCAATGGGGTTTATGTCTCGCAGGCTATATATAGCAAACTGAGAAACAGTTCCTGTAGTGCTCCTGTGGATTGACTTTGGCTAACCCCCCAGGGTACAATGGAGAGGCAGCTGTCTTGTCTTCCAGTGAAAGAGACCTATTTGCATGTCTTAAAAACTTTGGCCTGGAGGGCAGGCATCTAATGTCATACACACCTAGCAGGCAACTGAAATACTCTTCAAAGCCCATGAAGGCTGGAGGGCCCCATCTTCCTGTTGTCCCTCCGCCTGGCTCTCAGCTGCTGGTATCTTTCAGAAGGGAGCTTGTGCCCACATCCGAGGCTTTGGTGCTTGTGGCTGCCACCCAGAGAATGCCCCTTGGTGGCCTGGCACGAACATCCATGGGATTTGCAAGACTGTAACAGAGAAGGAGCTATTAACTGGCTATACTCTAGGACACGGCACTGAGGCAGCAGCCAGAAGTGCCCCCCCCCCCCAGTCTTTCTGTGAAAGAGGCCTATAGCTTATCCACACAGCTGAGGCCTGAGGGATTTAATTTCTGTTTAATTGATGTTTTCTGAATATGTTGCCCTTTAGGGAACGGAGGTTGGAGGTGAATATACCACTTACCAGAGTAAATCCACCTCAGAGGCAGAGCAGATGCACCAAATGGTTTCCACAAACCAGTGCATCAGTTTATCTTTTGATCCAATTAAAATCTTAAGATCTATTGAACTTATTTTCTAGTTCTAGTACTCTCATGAGTGCAACCACTAAGCCATAATGCTGACATTTTAATTTGTTTTAAATGTAGTCACCATCCTTTGATGCTGCTTTGAACTGTGCATGAATTTTGGTATGAACATCTGGCCTGTTTTCCCTTAAATGACATTTGTAGGACAACTTAGCAGAGCCTCCCTAGTAGTATATAGGTGGGGAAACAATTTTTAAAATACTCTCCATATGTAAAGAACTACAATTCAAAATAAATTATTCATTTGCAAAGAAAGTAATTTTAAAATGTTTTTGTTCAAAGATTAATGCCAAGCCTTAGGATTCATTCTTTCAACAGCTCTAAGATGTGTTTTATATATTGTTTAGTGTTAAGTGCCTTTACGAATATGTCTATGCTGCTTCTGCCCTTAAACATTACAAAACAGAAACCTGATTTTGAACAAGTTTGACTTCCTTAACTAAGAATACTTTTGGAAAATATTCTAAATAGGGTAGGATTCTATATGTTAACTATTTGTAATTTCTTGGTGATTTAAAGAAGCTAAAAAGTGTATGGCATCGGTACTGCACTTTTGAGAACTTTTTAAGCAGGCTGAGAAATCAATTAGGAATTCAGAATCAGTTGCGAACTCCTGTACGACATCAGAGAGCCCTGGCTCTCCTAACAAGAATGCCAGCCGGTGGGAAGAGTGAACACTGCGGCCTTGCAGAGGACTCTACTCTTTAAGGAAATTGGATTCCACTCTAAATTCTGGCAATGGGTCATCTTCTCCCTACACTTGAATAAAGAGGTGTCTTCCTTTAGACAATGTCATGTGAAAGGGGTGAGTTTAGCAGGAATATATCCATCAGTTAACCTCAGGTTGTATCAAAATCTTACTTTTTAAGAGCATCTCAGGCTGAGTAAAAATTCAGCCACGTATTTCAGAAAAGAAAACGGGGTTTCTGCCTTGGTCACACAAGGGGACAGAAAGAGCAAACAGCTGAAGTAGCATTTGATGCTGGGGCCCAACAGAAGGGGGCCTGTGAGTCCTCACACCAGGCAGGGTCTCTCAAAGAAGCCCCATGGGCAGAGGACGGCCCCTGGAATTCAGATGATGCTTTTCCCCTTGTTTTGTTTTGTTTTGTTTTGCACTTTTATATATTTAGCAGCACAAATTAGGCCAAAGAAATGTTTCCTGGAGAAGGATGTGATTGGGAATGGAGCGCGCACCAGAGTTAAGAATTGTCCTACAGATAAAGGCCCGTTCGTGAGGCGCTGCGAGTGTTCCCTCGGGGATCTGGGCAGGGACTTGGGGAAGAGAAGCTTGAACGTAAAGAAAGAGGAAATCTGAATTAAGCACAGCGGTGAAGTTTTATAATCCCCATGCCCAGACTTTTCAGGGACGTAGCACTTGCTTAGAAAGAAGCAAGGGATGGCTGTACTGTTTATTTTTGACAAGCCGAAATGGAGCGTCTTTCAACCAAAGATCATTATGCTTTTGAAAACAGACTTTTATAGTCGTTTCTGCTTCAGATTTAGATTTTTCATTTTAGTAGATTTATATGGCAAACGGATGTATATGTGTAAATATAAATTCTGTTTGTCAGATATTGACAAATGCGTGGGCAAACCTTTAAATGGAAAGTTCCATGGAAAGAAACGCTTGGAGCCTGTGAACAGTGTGTACAGCTGTCAGAATGGATTTGCAGTGAAAGGAGAAGCCTCGTGGGCAGGGGTCTTTACCGTTCATTGCTTGAAAAGTGGATCTTCAGATGTTGCAAAAAATAAACCGTGAGCCGTGGAGAACCGTATGGGCGGCGACGTGTGCGTTGGCAGAGTGTCCTCCCCCAGAGCACAGGTGGTGTCGCGGACTGGGCCCTGGGCGCCCTCCTCCTGCCCTGGGGCGCAGAGCTGCCGCCCTCCTCGAGGGCTTCCTGCGGGGAGACCCCAGCTGCCCCTGTCCTTGCCTGCACCTGCTGTGCACCTGCTCCCCTGCGGCCCGCAGCCCTCGGGGCCTTGGACACCTGCCTTCCTTGTCCTGGGATCAAGGCTACACTGGGGGACCCGGAAGCCCATGTCCCAACAATGAGAGCATCAAAGCTGATTTGTTTAACTAATAATAACGGTTTGCTTTTGTTCAGGGGGAAAAAAAAATCTTGGTCATTTTCCAGATTCGAGTTAAATCAGATTGTTAAACGTCCTTGATATTTTTGGAGCCACCGTTGCACATGGGAGTCACCTGGGGAGTTTTGCAGAGGCCTGAGTCCCACCTCCCAAAAGTTTCTCATGGACTTGATCTGGGATGTGGCCTGGGTATAGGGATTTTTTTTTTTTAAAGCTTCCCAAGTGATTCTAATATGCAGCTAAGGTTGAGAAGCTCTGCATTAGTGATTCTCAAGCTCCACTGCCGTTTCCACATATAAACACAGAAGGTAAAGGCTTATATTTACAAAATGCTGGGTCTTTTAAATTATTTTTTGAAAGATTTATTTTAGAAAGAGGAAGTTGGGGGAGGGGCAGAGGGAGATGGAGAGAGACTCTCAAGCAGACTCTCTGCTGAGCTCAGAGTCCCACTTGGGGCTAGATCCCATGACCCTGACATCATGACCTGAGCTGAAATCGAGAGTCAGACGCCTAACTGACCAAGCCACCCATGTGCTCCATGAAATGCTATTTTTTAAATTGAGCCTATTACATCAGAATACAGTCTGAGACATAAGATGTTGCCTAGTTAACAAAACATGGCTATTTGTGGTTGGAAAAACCAGAGGCAATCTTTCTGATAGCACTGGATGAAAATTAGGTTGTCTATAAGAAAACAATTTATTAAACTGTATTTGGCTTTAGCTAGAGACTACAGAATACTTTTTCAAATTGGCATAAAATGTACAAAGGAGCTTTTAAGGTAACTACCAAAAAGTCTCCTGTAGGAATGCTGAAGAGAGAGAGGATTGGCAGGAATCTGAATTTGCATTGTTTCAGAATATTTTTGCTTTAAAAAAAAATAGGCAGCTTTGGTATTTGAAAACTTAGTAATAATGCCTGACAGCTAACATATTAACCAAGAATGAACTTTCTTATATATTTTAATAATTGCATATTTCTACTCAAGAGCGGGATCTAACATAGTCTACTGACTCCCAGAAACGAAAAGCCAACTACCTGTGCACCTATATAATTTTTTCTCTGCTTACTTTTGCTTTAACCCTTTCCAATTCCATCCAGGAAAATTTGCACTAAAGGGAGTCAATCTTTATATCACGTAACACTGCTGCCCTCCTGTGGGCTCTCCGGGCATATGACGTTCCCGGAGTCCTTCCGACTTGGTCACTCAGAGGTTCCAGTCATCGCTGTGATTCCCAGAGGATATTTTAAATTTCATTTCGGATCTAGTATTAACTAAGCCTTTCTGTATTTCCTTCTGTGAAATTAACATTTTCATAAGGGGTAAACCCTGTTCCTGTTGCTTAAAGACGGGGAAAGTATAACTTTGGGGCCTGTAGTCAATCATTTTTCCCCTTCCTCTTTCATTTCCTTCCTCACTTAGAAAAGTGAACAAATGGCCACAAATATAGAGCATATGGAGCAAGCTCTCTTGCAAATGGGTAGTAAAATTGCTGTTCACAGGAGAAGCTGCTTATATTTACATTTTAAATAGGTATCTCCCCCTTACAAAGCTTTTTTTAAAAAATGGAATTATTTTATGTGGCAGTGGCAAGCCTTGTGCCGAACTATGGAAGCCAAGCAAGAGCTCCGGCATCCCGGTGCTCAGGGCCGGGGGCTTCGGGGCGCATCTGGCCGCCACGGCCCTTTAGGTGAGCACTTAGTCACGGTGCCTGGGGAAACGCCGCTCATCTGATCACCCAGCGCCACCTGCAGAGGCTCCTGGGAAACAGCCCCTCCGTTTGTCTTTGGCCTGGGCCTTGGGTAGCACCTGGGCAGGACCCCACGGCACCATGCTTCTCCCGCTCTAGTGTGCAGGCAGGTCTCGCTGAGACGCAGATTCTGAGTCCGGGGAGCCGGCTGGGGCCCAAGGCTGAGCCCTGCCCCTGACCTGTGATGCTACCTCTGGCGCTGAGGGCCTTGGCACGTGGGATCCGGGCGGGGCCCTCACTGTAACCACCAGCTTCCCTGCAGGGGAACCGTGGGGAAGCTGACAGCAGGAGGGGCGGTGTGACCCTGTGCTCTGCTGCCGGCCTTGGGGGTGGAGGCAGGGCCCTCGCGCCAAAGAGCGCAGCTCTGGGAGCTGGAAAAGCAAAGGAACGGATCCTCCTCGGACCTGGACCTCTGGCGGGAGCCCAGCCCTGCCAAGGCCTGGAGTCCAGCCTCGGGAAATGATGTCACACTTCCGGGACTGAAAGAAACGAGGCGGTGGTGTTTTAAGACGATGACCGTGTGAATGCTTGAGTGGCACCAAGATCCCCACGTTAAAATCCTACCCACCCCCCACCCCCACCCCAGGTGACAGGATTAGGAGGTGGGGCTTCTGGGGAGGGATTAGGTCAGGAGGGCAGAGCCTTCAAGCCTTCATGACTGGGATGAGTGGCCCTGTGAAGCGGCCCAGGAGCGACCCCTCAGCTCCTCTGGCCTGGGAAGGCGGTGTCTTGAAGCGGAACGCGGGCTCTCACCGGGCCCTGAATCTGCAGGGACCCCGACCTTAGACTTCCCAGCATCCCAGACCGGAAGTGCATGTTGTGTCTACGCTGCCCGGTCCCTGGTGTCGTCTTACAGCTGCCCAAGGAGGCTAAGACCAACCCCCAGTTGTTGTACTTGTTACAGGACACTCCTACACCCCGCCAGGGGTCCTCACACCCGTGTTGTGTAGGAAAGCCTTAGAAGCAAGCCCACAGAGGAGTGTCCGCACATCAGTCACCTGGGGAAACTTTGGGACAAAACTGTAGGTCCCGATCCCAGAACAGTATAACCAGACCCCATATGGGTGTACCCTAAAACTTGCATGGCCCTATAAACCAGATTCAAGATGTCTCTGATATCACACAAAGTACTCACTCAAGGGCCACAGTCCTTCTCCCTGAAGAGTCCCCAGGTGTAAGCCCCCCTAGAGACAAATCTGGCCAGTCACTGAACACCTTACAGAACTGGTTTGCCCTGCCCTCAAGGGTTCATAGAAACTTAGATTCACAAGTAGACCTCCTGCATCTTTTATAAAGTAACAAGAATCATCAGGCTGCTCTCCTTGACCAGCCATGTGACGTGTTCAGTTACGCAAAATTTCTCGAAGGATCCCTGACCACAGAGGTGCCAGGGCTTCAGCCCATCAGGAACCAACCTCAGTTTCCCCATCAGGAAGGAGCATCCCTCCACCCAGGCTTGAGCATTTCTCTTTTCTGTGATCTTTTCTCTCCTTTTGTTTCTTGGCTCACAGAATTGCAGTCTTGTCTTATTGGGCTGGCTTTGTTTTTAATGTGTGTATGCGTAATCTTCCATAACGTCTCAGGAAGTAGGTAAAATCTGCATCGCAAGTCGCCTTTTCATGAATGGGAAATGACAGAAGAAAAACAAAGATGTGACTAATTGATTACAGTAAAATATTTATTCAGGTCAGGATGCAGGAATAGACTCTGCACAGAAAGATAATCCAACAGCACCATTTATAGCACATACAGCACATTTCAGCAAAATGCAACCCAGGATATCAGATACATTGTAGCCATTTGTTTTTTAAAAAATACATTATGTTCTCTCTTACCTCTGCAATAAGGTATCATAGATGCAGCTAAAGAAGTTAGTGAACAAAGTGCCAGATCGTCCTTCCCCACTCTCTGCCCATCCTTCTTCTAAGAAACCACAGGCGGCCGCTCACCAGAGTTGGCATGAGGCTTCGAGGCTGCTGCTTTTCCCCCTACATCATAACCGATTTCAAATGGTGCTAGACAAAAACAGACTCTGAACACCAGGAGAAATCGGTCAGCCTGTGTAAGAGATGGGTCCGGTGGTGCTCCTGGGGGTCCTGCACTTGGCCGTGCAGGTGGCAGCTGAATGTTCCAGGGCATCTAGGAGCAGGTGCAGTGCTGATGTGGATGGAATCGTCCTCCGGGTACAACAGAGGAGAAAATCCCGGTATGAGTCATGATGAAATGGAAAGCTATCAGGTCAAGTTCCCAAACACCAGACAATAAGCAGTTCTGAGTCAGGAAGATACATACAAAGAGAATTAGATTAGGCCAACTATTAACCAGTAGATTCCTGGAACTCACACCTTAGGGTAGACTTCTCATGTTCACATGTAAACCCTTTCATCCCTCTGGACTTAAAACAGATCCAGACTAAAAGCACCTCTCCTTGCACTCTTGTTCCTATTCTTTATCATGTTACCTGGTCCTTGAAATCTTACCACTCTCTAGTGAGAAGAGGCAAACAAATATAAGACAATGGAAAACAGAGGGGAAAAAAAAGAATTTTCCTTAAGACTTAGGGTAAATTGCTCAAGATACCAGCCCTAGGCCTTCCTAAAAAGGAAGCTGGGGAAACCAATTAGGGACTTGCAAGAATACACAGGGAGCAGTTTGAGAGAAAACAGCAAGCCAAATAAGAATTATTTGAATGCTAGCATCACAGAATGAAGAACTTCTTGGGATGCTCAAAAATACCATATTTCCTATTTCAATGGCCCAGTTAGGCCAGAGACCTGATTTATATAATCTTCCTCACAGTAAGTGGTGATCTTGGGCTCCCCTTTAAGCCTAGAATATGATGCTAAAATATGTATGGCCTATATTTAACTGTGTAGTCTCAAGACTACTGTAACACAGTATTGCCTGGCCACTAAATAAATTTAACTCCAGAAATCATGGAAAAGGTAAGACTTTACTGGAATATCCCAGCAAGGCTCAAGGAAGTATTACATTATGTGACCCTTATAAAAATGTCCTAAAATCCACTTTACCCATTTCAGTTCTCCAAGGATCCATGTGTTAATGCAACTGCTTTCTGAGAACCTAGCTTCTTTCTCTTCTACCCAGATTGTCTCTCAAAACCTTCAGCTGAAGTTGGCTTATTGTTCTACTACCCATCTCACTGCCTGGATCTCCTACTTCACAAAAGTCTCCATGACCTTTCTAAGGTAAGTGAAGTTTCTTTAGCAGAGTTCAACACAACACAGCACTAAAAAAGGAGCAAGGAAATGCAGAAACTATCTTAGAATGCAGGATAGGGAGAAAGAATATATTTATCCTGCATGTAAATCTGGAAACTTTAACCTCATTAAAACTAAAGAAATGCAAAAGCAAGGGGCAAGATACCTTCTCCCCCCCATTACATTAATGACAATAGAAAGGTTCTTTTTTATTTAAAAAAAAAAAAAAGTTTATTTATTCAAGAGAGAGAGGCAGAGGGAGAAGTAGGCTCCATGCACGGAGCCCATTGTGGACTCCATCCAGGGACTCCAGGATAAGGCCCTGAGCCCATGGCAGACGCTCAACTGCTGAGCCACCCAGGGATCCCCAATAGAAAAGTTCTTATGTGAACATCCAATAAAAAGCAAGGATGTGATGAAACGGATATCCTCATATGTTGAAGATACCACAGCAACTGGCAAAAAGCCTATGAAAAACATGGAATATATAGAGAGAATAATACAAATATTCATACCAATTAGCCCTCCTAGGAATCCACTCTAATGGAATATTTTAATTTGAAAAATATTTCATGCATTTTTATCAAGGCCTTCATTACAAATAAAACTGGAAACAACTTAATTATACAATAGAAATCTTGGATTGCACTGATACATCCACTAGAGTTTCTATTTATTTGCCTCTGTCTTTATTCGGATTTCTACTGTATAAAACGTAAATGCATGGGAATGCACGTTTTTACTGTGTAAAAACGTAGATGCATGGGAAAATGTACCAGAATGGATTGTACAAAACATGTCAGAATAGGAGGATTATAGATGGTATCTTTTGTTCTGTAAATTTTCTGCTGTAATTATTTTATTTTAAAAGTATTAACAGGGATCCCTGGGTGGCGCAGCAGTTTGGTGCCTGCCTTTGGCCTGGGGCGTGATCCTGGAGACCCGGGATCGAATCCCATGTTGGGTTCCTGGTGCATGGAGCCTGCTTCTCCCTCTGCCTGTGTCTCTGCCTCTCTCTCTCTCTCTCTCTGTGACTATCATAAATAAATAAAAAATTAAAAAATAAATACATAAAAGTATTAACAAAGAAAAAAAACACATACTTTGTGGAGTGCACAAGATAAAATGAGTGTGTGAGGGAGACCGATGGCTTTTTATATTAGAAAAACAGTAGACTGTATGCTGAAAAGAAATCAGGATGAATCGTCCCCGGCTGAAAGCTCCTGTTTGATCCTGCTGCATGCCACACTTGTGTCATCCTGGCTTTTGTCTTCCCTTCAGGCACACGGGATGCTCTCACAACTGGTAAATTTTGAGAAGGGTTTGATGAGGGGCTTTAACACCTTTCACAGTAAGTATTCACTTACAATGAAAGAAACGTAAAATGAGAGATCAACATCTCTTACAATTCCAGCTGGAAGGAAAGAAAGTCGAAATTCAGGCCACAGTGTGGCAAGATTGGCATCCCTACAGGCATGTAGAGTGAGTGTCCTTTATGGAAGTTTCTTAAAAATATAAAAAAAAAAGGATTTTATTTATTTATTCATAAGAGAGAGAGTCAGAGGGAGAAGCAGGCTCCCTGTGGGGAGCCCAATACGGGACTCGATCCCAGGACCCCAGGATCACGCCAAGCCAAAGGCAGACACGCAACCACTGAGCCACCCAAGCACCCCCTTTATGGAAGTGTCTACGCTGGCTTTGAATTGTTACAAATGAATAAGCAACCTTCCTTTTCTAATGGAGCTGGAGAGCACAACTTCCTCTTTGGTTGATAACCCGGGAAGCTTCTCAGGATGGTAGTTGTGTTCACTTGCACAAACTGGAAGCCACAGAGCCCAATCTCCTAAGCCCATTTCCATGACCTGCCTACATAAGAGGAGTGGTTTTGGGGTAGACTTTGCTGCCTAGAAGAGCTTGTGCCTGTGTCTAACACGAAGACAGAGGAGTTTTAGGTCCTGGGGTGCCGGAGGCAGGAGCTCCAGTGCTGTTCTCACCTATTTGCTGAAAGGCTGCTCTGGATTAAAGGTCACAAACTGCTCTGCTCACCCCTTATCTAAAACTTTGTGGTAATACAACTAATGCACCAGATTAAGCTGGGAGCAGTTTAAAGGTAAACTTACTCTTAAAGGTAAGCCTGTGTGAGGTGTTTCTTAAATGTAGAATTTATAGTTACATATAAAAAACTCACTGGTGGGATCCCTGGGTGGCGCAGCGGTTTGGCGCCTGCCTTTGGCCCAGGGCGCGATCCTGGAGACCCGGGATTGAATCCCACATCGGGCTCCCGGTGCATGGAGCCTGCTTCTCCTTCTGCCTGTGTCTCTGCCTCTCTCTTTCTCTCTCTGTGACTATCATAAATAAATAAAAATAAAAAAAAAAATTAAAAAAAAAAAGAAGTCTTTAAAAAAAAAACTCACTGGTAACCGCCAGTGGGACTAGGTATTTAGAGTTTAAAACCTATGGGTTATGTTTTCCATGCCTTCAGTGACCCTGTTTTACTGCCTGGGCCTTTTCTTTGGTGCAATCTTTCTTTCACCCATCGTTGTTTCCTGTTGAATAATTCTAACATACAAAAACGGTAAGTACAGCCATATTCTTCTAAAAAAAATATTTGTAACTGTACTTTACTCTTTTGGAAGCCACAGAGAAGTAAAATAAAACTTAAAAAAAGCACTACTACATAATATATAATAATCCATAATTATAAAGAAGGCCCTTGATGTATATTATGGGTAGAGAATTATTCACACTAAAAGCAATATATATGACAATAAGAACACTTAAAAAAAAGCTTAGAATTTTAAGAAGGATTCAAATTTTACAAAAAGGGAAAATAGGCAGAAGGAATTTTTCCAAATTTCCAGTGTTGATAAGACAGTTGGTATCCCAGTTTTGCTGAAACATTCCTAACCCAGACCTCTGTATGCAGACTTTATCAAGGCACTAGAAGTTACATAGTGTGTCCCACTGGCACACACATTACAGGTTGCCAGTGTCAAAGAACTGAGGCTTTTTGAAGGGCATTAAAAAATATTTTGTAAACCCACCTAGTTTTTAAACTTTTTTTTTAATATTTTATTTACTTATTCATGAGAGACAGAGAGAGAAGCAGAGACACAGGCAGAGGGAAAAGCAGGTTCTCTGTGGAGCCCAATGTGGGACTTGATCCCAGGACCCTGGGATCACGACCTGAGCCAAAGGCAGATGCCCAACCCACTGAGCCACTCAGGTGCCCCAATATTTAAACTTTCTAAAACCTTACAAGGATTAGATCGAAATAAACATTTCTGAGTAGGAAGAGAACGTATCCAGCTTTTGTATTCACTGATTGATTGACTGATTTTATTTATTCATGAGATACACAGAGAGAGGCAGAAACAGGCAGAGGGAGAAGCAGGCTCCTTGCGGGGAGCCTGATGTGGGACTCGATCCCTGGACCCCGGGGATCATGCCCTGAGCTGGAAGATAGACGCTCAACCACTGAGCCACCCAGGTACCCCTTTGCTGATTTATTTAGAATAAAGTCTGCAAGGTCACAGTCAATACTATCAGTGTTTAACCATGATAAAGAAATTCTATACCCATGAGGAACAGTTTATACCTTTAAGAGAATAGCTTGCTATAGCAAATGTTCTAAATAAAGTCTCCTAATTAAAACAAACCTAACAGAAACTAAAGTTGCTCTTTCAGAGGAGGCCAGTGTACATTTTTTAAAAGCAGAATATTACAGCAGAGCACCTTACAATCTAGTCAGGAACTCAATTTCATGATAAAATAATTAGCAGAGATTTACATTTAAATCTTTATCCTTCCTAATATTCTCTACATGTTATGGCTTGATAGGTAAAGACACTTCATTCTTCTTCATTATAAAAAAAGTGAAAAGTAGCCTTGATGCTTTCTATTAGCAAAAGTCTATCAATAACCTCTTCCCCTTAAAGTCTCTTTTAGTACTACTACAGTTTTAAGTCTTAATTTTTTTTTTAAGTTAAGGCTGAACTAAAGTAGTTGAGGCTTCTCACTTTCTATTTCTAGACCAATATCAAGTTAAAA